GACGGCCCTGATTGTGCAAAGCATGGAAGTCGGTGAAGCCAGGAACAACTGTAAAAGCTGAGTAACAGGCCGTCCAGCCACCACAGGATGTCGAAGGTGGACTGGAGCCACAGTTCGAAATGCCAGCCGCCACCTTGCTGAAGCTCGGTTAGCCGCATTACACAGCCTACAGCAGAGACGTCTTGCCAAGCTAACGAGCCCACTTCCACATACCTTCTGCTTCCGCTCGTCTTCTCCGCCTGGCTATAGCACCTCGGGGCCACTTCTTTCTAGAAGCAACATCTCCAGTGTAGTCATCCTGCGACGTTCGCCATTGTCTACCTGCGATATGTCACTATCACTCGGTCCCAGGTGTGGAACGATCACCGTGGCGTAGAGCAGGCCGTTAAGCACTTCAGAGTCGGAGGAAGCTTTGGAGAACGGCGGCACAAAACGTCACTTTTCAGTGGCTGGCGGTGCACCGCCGCACCGTGCACTTGTCTTCTGCGCTGTGTCTGCCCCTTGCACGTTCGAACGCCCACCGAGACATGGTGGCGCCCTCACGAGTGCTCCCCAGTGCCAGTGGCGCCGGAGATATATGGCGCATTGGTGAGTCGACACTTGCTCAAATCCGAAAACGGCTTGGCTGACTAATCGTGGGACGTGCCAATGTGATAGTTGTTGCTGTTCAAAGGGTCTGCCAAGGATACTGCGCCGGAGTAACCGGAGGCCATACCGTTCTCTTGGGCAGTCCGAGGCGGTACACTCCTTGATGCAGAGCGGGACGCGATACGGCATGTGGCAGTTTGGGTACACGCCTGTGTCGTATGTGCTGCGGTGTTGCCTCGTTTGGTGTGCTTGTCGTCTTGCCATATAGCATTCAGCATTGTAGATATCAATATCGCACCGCATGTAAAGTCTTGTCCACTTCTCATGACAGTTAAGTGATGTCCTCCGTTCACCGGTAGAAGTAGGACAGTCTCGTAAAGGGTTCATGTGAGAGTTTCTTCCCTGCCGATGCTAGTGCTTGCGGGTTGGCACAAACCATACGCAACTTCCACCTTAGTTTAGTACTACATTCGTACAGGCTATACGCGTGTACGTCCATCAGTTCACCGATAGATGCTCAATCTGGAGGGCTGCGCGGCCCCGCATCCTCTCACTCGCGCAACCCATTAGTATCTGAAAGCGTGGCGTTCAGTAGTAGTAGACAAGGTACTTATCCGCCAAGGCCAGCCTAGCTACGCATTATGTGCAGTAACGAGTTCACGCGGACTGCAGAACTCCTTTGAGCGGCAGTCAGCCAGACACGCTAGAGCCTCGGAACTGGGCTGCGTCGCCGAACATCCCGTGCTCGCATGTTTTCTGGGCTTGATCCTGACCTTTGGATGAGGATTTTGATCATCTCGAAAAGCTCAAATGCCGCGCCTCTACCACAACACCATATTGATCCGCCCAAAAAGCGAACACGTCGGAACGCCACACCATCCTCGGCGCCCCGAAGGGCGCAGACCTCGATGCACACGGAGGCGAGTCTTCAATGGATCCAACGAAATAGCTCCATAAAGATACCTACTCGAGATTACAGTACATTACAGACCCACCCTCGATGTACAGAGAGGAAGAAACAGTAGCATGAATAAGCTAGATATTACGATGTACGAAAAGCCGGTGTGCGGGTTGCGCCCTCTACTGTATCGTGACGATCGTCTTTTGTCGAAGAACATTACTCTGTACGTCTGGCGAGAGCTCAGTCAGTGGAGGATGTGCATGTGGGTGAGAGGTACGTGGAAGAGATGCGTGAGATGCGTGATGGGTGAGGTGGGAAGGGACAAGGGACAGAGTTTAGTGCCGGACGTTTCCATGGAGGCGGCGACTCTCCTCGAGCTCCTCCGCGTACAAGAGATCGGGGTCGCGGCCCTTGCTCTCGGGCAGGAGCTGCGTGCAGACGGCGCCGGCGATGCAGCACCCGAAGAAGACTGTGTGACACGGGTCAGTACAGGCCGAAACCCGAGAGTCAGGGAGAGGTAGTACACACTCCAGAGGACGTTCGGCGTGCCGATGCTGTTCGTGAGCTGGTTGAACGCGAGCGCCGAGATGATGGCGCCCGCCTTGCCGCACGCGGCGGACATGCCGTGCGCGGTCGCCTTGAACTTGGTCGGGAAGACCTCGGCGGGGTAGATGTACGTCGTCGCGTTCGCGCCAAAGTTGAAGAAGAACTGCAGGAGCGAGAAGCAGACGATGAACGCCACGGTGCTCAGCTTGTGGAACATGCCCGCGAGGATGCCCACTGCGCAGCTTGATCAGCGGCGGGGTCTCTCTAACAGGGGACGCGCACGCGCGGAGGG